AACAATACAATATGTAGCATATGTAACAAGTATGCAATCGTTGGATACACTGGACACGTTGCATTAAAGCATCCGCGGACCTGCCTCTGGCAACACGTCATTTTCGGACGTAGATTTCCCGCGAATCGCCACGGAATCGGACCCGTGCTTGCGAACACCGTTTTCGGAGCAAACTAGAACCTAAGCGCGCGCGAAGCGCGCGCGTGGTTCTAGTATATATATATATATATATATATATATGTATTCCCGGTTCCCGGTTCCTATATATAAACTGGGAACCCGGAAAGCGGGAACCGGGAACCGGCGGGAACCGGGAACCAGGAACGGGGAATTGGCGGGAACAGGGAAACGGGAACCAGGATTTGGGAACCGGGAACCGGGATTTGGGAACCAGGAACCGCGGGAACGAATTTGGAACCAGAACCGGGAACCGGGAACCATGCATGCATATGCATGGTTCCCGGTTCCATTTTTCATGCATATGCATGCATATGCATGCATATGCATGCATATGGAATTCATATGGTTTCCGCCAATTCATGCATATGCATGGTTTCCGCCAATTCATGCATATGCATGCATATGCATGAATTGGCGGAAACCGGGAACCGGGAACCATATGGTTCCCGGTTCCCGGTTTCCGTTTCCCCGTGCACCGGGAACCGGAAACCCGGAGCCAGAACCAGAAATCGCGAACAGCGGGATCTGGGAACCAGGAACTGGGAACTTGGAATTCGTTGACTAAAAGATTTTAGTTCATTATTCCTCTCCCTCCTCCTCCTCCTCCTCCTCCGCCTCCCTCTCCTCCTCCTCCTCCTCCTCCTCCTCCTCCTCCTTCTCCTCCTCCTCCTCCTCCTCCTTCTCCTCCTCCTCCTACTCCACCCCCCCCTCCTCCTCCTCCTCCTCCTCCTCCTCCTCCTCCTCCTCCTCCTCCTCCTCCTCCTCCTCGTCCTCCTCCTCCTCCTCCTCCTCCTCCTCTTCCTCCTCCTCCTCCTCCTCCTCTGCTCTCTCCTCTGCTCTCTCCTCTGCTCTCTCCTCCTCTTCCCCCGCCAAGGTCGGCAGCCCCCACACGTTTTGTGCCCCTCAGGGAGCTCCAGCTAATTACCTCCACCTCCCCAGTCGGCCGCGCCTCCTGCCCTTTTCGCCCCCCCCCTCACGCGGATCGTTGCCCCCAGGGTGATCCACCGACGGCCTCGGTGGGCAAGTCCGCGCCCGGTCTCCAGCCATGTTCGGCGAACCCTGCACACGGACCTCGCGCGCGCCCCCAACGGAGCAAAGCGCTCCTACGCTGCTGCTCCGCAGCCATGAGCTCTGCCCCGCCCCCCCCCCCTCCCCCCTCCAGCGCGCACGGTACGCACGGCGAGAGGGCCACGCCCCGCGCTGCACGCGCCTGCGCAGGGTTGGGCCGGTCGCCAGGCCAAGTTTTAACATCTTTGGACCCCGCAAGAGACCCAGACCCCCTCGAGTCATGAAAAAATCACGACGGGAGGTTTTTCATTATTTTTGGCCTCCGGGGGCCCTTACCGGACCTCGGGACCGTCAAAAAACGACTCAGGACGAAAAACCGGTCCCGGGGAATGGGTCCAGACCGCTGGGGGTCGACGTCATGAAAAATTCATGACGTCGGGGGTCTGGGGAGCACCTGCAGTGCTGCACGCGTTGCTGGCCGTCGAGGCTTACCTCACCGAGCGCGTTCCACTGCTGGCAAAGTGCCTACTGGCAAGCGTCTGGAAAAAAAACAGGTCTGCCTTGATGCCATTTATCGTAGATCCCCCGCGGGGGATCCAGGCCATTTGCGATTAGTTGCTTTGAGAGTAGTGGAACGCGCTCGTCTATTACCGCCCCCTTGTGAGCGCCCTCTCGGCAGGACACGTGGGGACGTGTGGTCAGGACGCAGGGCCGCATCATCTGGCACACAGATAGCCACACCACCAAGGCACCCCCAACGGGGCGGCCGGATGCGGCTGGCGACAGGGGTCCCGCGGCCGCGCCGACGGTCGCAATCTTCCTCCTGTCTCTGGCGCTAGCGCTAATGCTGCACAGCCGACTCGCAAACCTCGCGTACTAAGATCGGCAGCTCCTCCTCTTCCCCCTCCTCTCTCTCTCTCTCCCTCTCTCTCTCTCTCTCTCCGACGTCCCTGTTGACCCCATCACCCATCAGATGGAAGGAAGGTGGGGGGGAAGAGGAAGGGAGAGATCGGGAGGGGAACAGCGGAGAGGGAGCCCGGGGGCTTTTGGGGAGAGGAGGCCACGATAATATAATGAGGCCGGAGTAAGCGCGGGCGTGTGGGTATGATTTGGGTGGCAGGGGGCGAGGAGGGAGAGGGGGGGCAGGGAGAGGGGGGCAGAAGGTTTCTACCCCCTTTTGGTTCCTCCTCCTTCTCTTCTTCTGTTCTCGTTGTATACTATCATGTTGTTGCTTTTCTTCATTTGACCTCGTCGTAGTCATCCTCCTGTCATCCCTCCTCCTCCTCGTCTCCCACCGGCTGCCTGCCTCCTGAGCCTGTCGGGTCGTGGGAGGATGGGGAGCGCTTGGAAAAGGGCTCGAGTCCAAATTGAACTGGAGACTGTGCTCTGCCTCTCTCCGGAGGGCACCAACTATACACCAACACCGATCCTGGCCAGGATCGGTGTTGGTGTATAGTTGGTGCCTTCCTATCTCTCCTTCTCTCCCTCTCTCTGACAAGTTCCCTTCTACCGCACACCTCCACTGTCACGCGCGTGGCAGAGTGCACGGCTCCCACGGTCGGCAGCCCGGATCCCGCACGCGATGCGACTCTCAGAAGGAGAGGGCGTCGAGCAGGAGAGGCAAGGAGGAGGAGGAGGAAAGGGAGGGGAGGAGGAGGAGGAGGAGGAGGAGGAGGAGGAGGAGGAGGAGGAGGAGGGAGGGGAGGAGGAGGAGGAGGAGAGAGGAGGGAGAGGAGGAGGAGGAGGAGGAGGCGGAGGAGGAGGAGGAGGGGGGGGGTGGAGGAGGAGGAGGAGGAGGGGAAGGAGGAGAGGAGGAGTTGGATGAGGAGGAGGCGGAGGAGCAGGAGGAGGAGGAGAGCGCCAGCGAGTGCGGGCTCTTACAACCCCCCTCCCTCCTCTCCCGTAGGTGCATCTTCGTCATTGCAGCTATCCTTCTTGTTCTCTCTCTTCACCTCTTGGTTTCTGTTCGCCCTCCCCCCGCAGGTCGCGGGGGGCGCTCGAGGGCATCGGCTCTTCGACGCGAACTCGTCCGCACCACCGAGTCACCGAGGAGGAGGAGGGGATGAGGAGGAGGAAGTTGATGATGGTGACGATGATGATGATGATGATGCTGCTGCTGATGATGATGATGATGATGATGATGATGATGATGATGCTGATGCTGATGCTGATGCTGATGCTGATGCTGATGATGCTGATGATACAGATGATGATGCTAATGATGCTAATGATAATGATGATGATGCTGATGATGCTGCTGATGATGCTGTTGATGATGCTGCTGACGATGATGATGACGATGATGATGATGGTGATGATAATGATGATGATGATGATGATGATGATGATGATGATGATGATGATGATGATGATGATGATGTTGCTGCTGCTGCTGATGATGATGATGAGAACGAGGAGGAGGCGGAGGAGGAGGAGGAGGAGGAGGAGGAGTGTGGGGAGGATATCTCGCATCACGTGATGAAGTCCCTCTGCCCACACGGGGGGCACGGGCCAGCGCCCGGGGACCCAGGAGCCGAGCCCCCCGGGTCCCCGCGGGGATGTCGGCCGCGCCTCGCTCGCTTCTCCAGGTGGGTGATCTCCAGGTGAGCGGCGAAACAAAACGGGGTTGTCTGCGCCGACGTTGGCGCGTAAGCTGCCCGCGTCAGGTTGCGCGTGAGCGCCCTCGTCTCCAACGTGGCGTGCCGCGCCGGCGGCCCGCGTAAGCCACGGCGTAAGGTCGCTGTGCCATCTGGCGTGTCACATCGCCCAGATGAGGGAGGTCCTCCAGGCGAGCGCGCGCGCGTGTCCAGTCGGGGAGCCCGCTCGTGCCCAGTGGGGTCATGGCGTGGAGGCCCGCGTGGCTTCTGCATGAGCACCTGTGCTTGGGCCTCGTGCCCCTGCAACTCGTGCTTGAGAGCTTGTGCCCAGGGCCCCCCAGTACCTGAGCCCTCGTGCCTTGAGCCTTGCGCTTAAGTCCTGGAGACTCTTGTGCCTTGTGCTTGAGTGGAGGATAGTGTGGCCAAGTCGCGATCCCTGGATGTTCCGTGAGATCCTCCGATTGTTGGTTCGCGGGTCATTGCATTGGTTTCACAGATTAGTGGACCGTGGGTCGGCAGCCCTTTTCTAGACCGTCTGACGGCGGGTCGCATACTCACACTAATGTTGCGCGATCCCACTTTGGGGAAAATTGTCTGCAGACGGCACACACACATACAACGCAATGCGCAGAGAGACAATGACATGCAATTCAATGCAATGCAATGCATTGCATACCAGCGTAATGCAAAGCACGCGTGCAGCATGGCAGCGCGAATCACTTCATGGCACATCAGCATATCTGAGTTCTGCATACGTGGCGCAGACAGGTATGGAGCCAACTTCTTGGAGGGCGCGTTCGACTGCGTCTGCCAAGCGTAATTCGTCAAGCATGTGTCGCTGTGTCGTGGCGCAGCCAGTGTCCCCGAGGTGACGCGTGTCATATGGCACCCCATCACTGGGTTCGAGGCTAGATTCTGCAGTGCTAGCTTGTCCAATGCGCAGAAGCAGACAGCGTGCACGTACGCTGTAAATCTCACGGCGCCAGCTCCGTTGCTAGCATTGCATCGCCCAGCGCAGCATTCGATGGCATTCTGGGGCCCCAGGAACCAAAAGCGTGGGATCTCGGACTACCCAGCGCTGGAGAAACAAATGGGCAACGACCCCCCAGGCAAAGCCCAACGCGGGTGTTGGTCTTGTTCAAGCGGCAGGCCGGAGCCGAGAAGGCAGCAAAATGTGTATTCATCGATCGCGGCTTAATGGTCTGCACCATGCAGCCGTTTTCAAACCAGGACGAATTAACCAGATTGGCTCAGCTTCTGCTGTCCACTGTTGCGCTGCTCTGCTTCCAAGCTCCTCCTGAGAGAACATCGCTTGCTGCAACGATGCGGGCGTTAGCAGGCTTCCTGACAGGCGCCTGGCTGATTGCGCTGGCCCTCGCGCAGACAGACGATTGCTGGGACAACGACAATTGCGATGCCAAAGATGATGAGCAGGCTCTCCTTCAGCGCACGCATCAAACGATCCTGCAGCACCAGCCTGGCCAGACGTGCAGCAGCCCTCCGCCGACGATCAACGGCTACAACTGCAGGCACTGCTGCCCGGACCAGTGCGACCAGGTGGGCCACCCCGAGTGCTACGTGGGCGGAGGCGGCGGCGGCACAACGAATCCCGCCACTCCGAGTACCCCTGGAGACCAGGAGTGCAGCAGCCCTCCGCCGACGATCAACGGCTACAACTGCAGGCACTGCTGCCCGGACCAGTGCGACCAGGTGGGCCACCCCGAGTGCTACGTGGGCGGAGGCGGCGGCGGCACAACGAATCCCGCCACTCCGAGTACCCCTGGAGACCAGGAGTGCAGCAGCCCTCCGCCAACGATCAACGGCTACAACTGCAGGCACTGCTGCCCGGACCAGTGCGACCAGGTGGGCCACCCCGAGTGCTACGTGGGCGGAGGCGGCGGCGGCACAACGAATCCCGCCACTCCGAGTACCCCTGGAGACCAGGAGTGCAGCAGCCCTCCGCCGACGATCAATGGCTACAACTGCCGGCACTGCTGCCCGGACCAGTGCGACCAGGTGGGCCACCCCGAGTGCTACGTGGGCGGAGGCGGCGGCGGCACAACGAATCCCGCCACTCCGAGTACCCCTGGAGACCAGGAGTGCAGCAGCCCTCCGCCGACGATCAACGGCTACAACTGCCGGCACTGCTGCCCGGACCAGTGCGACCAGGTGGGCCACCCCGAGTGCTACGTGGGCGGAGGCGGCGGCGACACCACCCCTGGCTTTCCTGGGGCGCCCGAAGGGTTTCCCGGCGGCTTTCCTGGCGGCTTCCCTGACGGCGTTCCTGGCGTTCCTGGCGGCTTTCCTGACGGGCTGCCGTGAGCCGCCAATGTCTGTCAGACAAGAAGCGCCGAGGTTACTCAGTCTCAAATTTTCTCACGTACCTCGCGCATCTGCTCCGTGCAGAAGTGCAGATAGCGCTTGCGTCTGAAAGCTGTTGCGTGGGAGACCAGCATTGGGAAGGCCTTACGGCCAGCGCCGCCCACCTGATATGCGCGACCTCCCCCAGGACCCCCGCTGGCGAACCACGCCTGGAACCTCCTGCGCCCCAGGGGGGTCGCTATTCTGACCCGGGACCCCTCCCCCCACCCCTCGCGCCCACACCCCCACCCACCCCCGACGGGGAAGGGATCAAAGGGAAGGGAAGGGGCTTCGACGTGCCTCAATTTCTTTGTGGTTGGAGGTTGAAGAGGGCCCGGGGAAACGGAAGGGAGCGGCGACGGCGATGGCGACGGCGACGGCGACGACGACAGCATCTCCCATACACCGACAGGGTGGGCGGATATCTGAGCAGAGGACGGGGCCGAACCGCAGCAGTTTTTTAGGCGCCTTTCAACTTTACGTTTGGCCTTCATTTATGCATGGCCTTCGTGTCTTTTCTTCTCTCTCTCGCTCCCTCTCCCTCTCCCTCTCCTCTCTCTCTCTCTCTCCCTCTTCTGCCGCTGTATCGTTCCGTCGCGCCCTCCCCTACGCAACATCATCACCCCATCCTCCCCCTTCCGCAGGGATTTTGGCGGGGCCTCGCAAAACACACATCAGTTCCGACAAGGTGATGCAAGGATCTTGGCTTCCCAGGGGTGCTCTCGGAGACTCCGTGGACACTTCGAGCCGCCATGGGCGCTCTTCGAGCCTCTTGGAGCATGTTCCACATACGGTGGGGGCGTTGGTTAAGGAATGCGCCCAAGATGCTGCAGACCCTGGAGGGTTCCGTATCTGATGAGGGCGGCGGTGATATTCATGGCCAAGCCTCGATTGGAATTCCACTGGGATCCAGACCCTGGATCCCTTATCTAAGGGTTTCTTATTCAGTGCCCCAACCGTAATACTAGCCCATCTTCAGCTACATCTTGAACCTGCTTGGAGGCCATCTTGCGCTCGCTGAGGCCCTCTCAGCGCCATCTTCGGTCCTCTTGCACGCTCTAACGCTTCGCGAGGCATGCCGTCCAGCCCCAGGGGGACAGATCTTTGGGGAGACTAGCCGCATGTTTCGTGGCTCCACGAGGAGCTCCGGCCGAGGCCTCGGCGCCAGCGCCCGCACGACAGACGCCACCTGCCCATCCAGGCACCCTCCTCGCACGTGCCGTGGTCCCATCGGGAGCTCCACCGAAGGCCCCGGTGCCGACCCCCGCATGCCACCGCCGTTGTTGGTGCACGCCCTCCACGAGCTCACGAGCCTCGCGGCCCCACTGGGAGCTCCCCCGCGGGCTCCAGTGCAGCGCTCGCATGCCCCGATGCGCTCTGTCGGCACACACACACACACACACCTCGCACGTTTCGTGTGCTCCACCAGAGGCCTCACTACCAGCGTCAGCATGCAGCCGCCGCACCCAGCCCGCACACCCCTCACACGGCTCGTGGCCTCGAAGGGAGCTCCACCGACGGCCTCAGTGCCCCCACCCGGATGCCGCACATCCTTCACAGTTCGTTGCCCCACAGGGTCTTCCCAGAAGGTCTCAGCGCCAGCGCCCGCATGCCGCCACCTCACCATGTCGACACACCGCTAACACTTTCGTGGGCTCCTCGGGAGGTCCACCGAAGACCTCAGTCCCCGCGCCCGCACGACGCCACCTCACCAGTTCGGCACGCATCCTAAACGTTGTTTCGTGGCCCCACGGGGAGCCCGACCGTATGCCGAATTCCCGGCGCCCGCATTCCGCCATCTCGATAGTTTGGCGCCCCCCTCACACGGTTCGTGGCCCCAGGAGGGAGTTCCACCGGAGGCCCCAATGGCAGCGCCCGCATGCGACCTTTGCAATTTCGGCACACCCCTCGCATTGCAACCTCCCCCTCAGGATCTTGTGGCTACGTCCGCATGACGGCCAGCTCGCCAACAATTCGGCACATCCCACGCACGATTCGTGGCCCCAACGGGCGCTCCACCAAAGGCCCCACTGTCGGCGTCCGCATGCCGCCGCCACACCACGTCGCACACCTCTGACACGGTACGTGGCCCCGACGGGAGCCACACCGACAGCCCAAGCGTCACCGCCCGCATGCCACACGCCCCTCACACGTTTCGGTGCTCAATGTAGATCTCCACCGACGGCCCCATCGCCAGCGCCCGCATGCCGCCATCTCACCATTTTGGAGCACAGGGCCAGGTGCTTTCTCCCAGCTGCCCCGGGGGACCCTCCCCAGCGGCCCAAGAGTCGCCCAGACGGCCTGAAGCTGCGTCACAGGGACAAGGCTTCCAGGTGTCCCGCGCGGTTTCTGGACGGCCCCAGATAGCTTCAAGACGGAGCAAGAGAGCTCGACGAGCGCTCCCCCGAGGGCCCCAAGAGGCAAAACACCGTGACTGCTCCCAGGTTTTTCCCATCCATCCTGTGGTGTTGGGTCCTGGTTTTGAATGGACAGCGCCCCGCGTTCTCCTTACTTCTCCTCCTCCCGCTGCCCCCTCCTGTCACCCCATCATCATCATCATCATCATCATCATCATCATCATCATCATCATCATCATCATCATCATCATCATCATCATCAGCATCAGCATCAGCATCAGCATCATCATCGTCATCGTCATCGTCATCGTCATCGTCATCATCATCATATTCTACCACCGCCATTAGCACCATCGTCAACATCGTCATCATCGTCATCAACAGCATCATCATAATCATAATCAAAATCATCATCAACATCAGCATCATCAGATTCATCAGCACCATCATCATCATCATCATCAGCAGCATCAGCATCAGCATCAACATCAGCAAGAGCATCAACATCATGCTCATCACCATCATCAGCGGCATCGTCATCACCAACATCAGTATCATCAGCGCCATCATCATCCTCCTCCTCATCCCCTCCTCCTCGGTGACTCGGTGACGCGGACGAGTTCGCGTCGAAGCGCCGATGCCATCGAGCGCCCCCCGCGACCTGCGGGGGGAGGGCGAACAGAAACCAAGAGGTGAAGAGAGAGAGAGAGAGAGCATCATCAACCTTATCATCATCATCATCATCATCATCATCATCATCATCATCATCATCATCATCAGCAGCATTATCATCATCATCCTGATCCTTATCCTCCTCCGCACCATCATCAACAGTCATCATCAGCAGCAGCAGAAGCAGCAGCATCAGCATTGCCATCGTCATCGTCATCATCACCAGCATCATCATAAGCATCACCATCATAATCTACCACCATCATCAGCACCATGGGCAACATCGTCATCATCGTCATCAGCAGCATCATCACCATCAACATCACCATCAGCATCATCATCATCATCACAATAAGCATCAGCAGCACTATCCTATCATCAGTATCACCATCATCACCACCGTCATCCTCCGCATCATCATCACTACCAGCATCATCATCATCAGCATCACCATCATCATCATCATCATCATCATAACCATCATCATCATCATCATCATCACCATCATCATCATCATCACCATCAGCAGCATCAGTATCAGCATCATCATCATCATCATCATCACCATCAGTATCGTCATCAACATCCTCATCATCATCATCATCATCAGCAGCAGCAGCAGCAGCAGCAGCAGTATCGTCATCATCGTCGTTGTCGTCGTCGTCATCATCGCCGCCGTCATCAACACCGTCGCCATCAGCTTCGGCATGCCTCTCACGTGGCCTCATAGGGAACTCCACCGAAGGCTCCAGTGGCAGCTCCCGCATGCAGTTCCACCCCCATGTTGGTGCACCCCTCACACCGTTCGTGTACCCATAGGGGGCTCCACTCAGGGCGCCAGTGGCAGCGCCCGCATGCAGGTCCACCCGTTACGTATTTCGGCACACCCTTCACACGCTTCGTGATCCCATGGGGAGCTCCACTCAAGGCGCCAGTGGCAGCGCCCGCATGCAGTTCCACCCCCAGTGCGGTGCACCCCCCACACGTTTCATGGCTCCGCTCCACCGAAGGCCCCAGGGGCAGCACCCGCATGTAGTTCCACCCTTCATTTTGGCACACCCCGCACACGTTTCGTGGCCCCAAAGGGACCTCCATCAAAGGCCCCAGGGGCAGCGCCTGCATGCACTTCCACCCTCCACTTCAGTGCACCCCTCACACGTCTCGTGCCCCCACAGGGAGTTCCACCAAAGGCCCCAGTGGCAGCCTTCGCATGCGGTTCCACCCTCCATTCCAGCACACTCCTCACACGCTTCGTGGCCCCAAAGGGAGCTCTACCGAAGGCCCCAGTGGCAGCGTTCGCATGCGGTTCCACCCTCATGTCAGCACACCCTTCACGCACACCCTTCACACGTTTCGTGTCCCCAGGGGGAGCTCCACCGGAGGCAACATTGACAGCGTCCGCATGCAGACCCACCGCCGTTGCGGTGCACCACTCACACGTCTCGTGATCCCATGGGGAGCTTCACCGAAGGCCCCAGTGGCAGCGCCCGCGTGCATACGTTTCGTGGCCCTACTGGGAGCTTTACTGAAGGCCCCAATGGCAGCGCCCGCATTTGGTTCCGAGCTCCATTCCAGCACACCCCTCACACGTTTCGTGGCCCTATTGGGGCTCCACCGATGGCTCTGGTGGCAGCGTTCGCACGTGGCTTCGTGGCTCACTAGGGAGTTTCACCGAAGGCTCCAGTGGCAGCGCCCGCATGCGCTTCCACTCCCCATGCCGGCGCCTCTCACACGTTTTAGGGGCCCCATGGGGAGCTCCACCAAAGGCCCCAGTGGCCCCTGTTGTTGGCCCCACTTCATTTCATTTTCCTCGCGATGCTCGACGGCCCCTGAGGCAGCGCCCGCATGGTGGCCCCGCGACATTTCGGCACCCGTCACGCGCTTCATGGCCTCAGATGGAGATCCACCGAAGGCGATACTCACAACGACGGT